ACTTTGATACTACCCAAACTGTATACCTCACACAATAGAACTCGACTCAGATTTTTGAAGCTGTTACAAATATAATACAAAGCCGCTACGATAAACGCAGCCATTAATTTCATTAGCTTGGATGCTTATTTTACTTCATAATGATGCGGTCTAAGGCATCCAGTCCACCGATCAACGAGCCTGCATATTTCAAATTGAGGCATTCATCTGGTGCGATTCGAATTTAGAATGTTAAAATTAAATCCCGCTTCATCAATGAATATTGTTTTTTGTTACGCTTGCGGAGAATTTCGAACAACATGTAATATATAGGGGAAGGTGGGACAAGATGAGAACGTTAAGGTTTGAAAAGTCATAAGATGACAACCACTTTGATGAGAACGATAAGTTTTTTATTCTCAGCAATTACAACATTTGGTAATATATAATACAAAATGTAATTTTTGAAAAACGTTTTTAAAAACAAAAAAATTTAATATTTTAAAATTATATCTAAATGCACCATCTTGCCCCACACATGGGGTAAGATAGGGATATTATTTTTTATAAACAAGAAGGACAAATTAAAATCGTTACTGTCATTTTCTTCAATATTGGCACAAGAACAGTGTGCCCATTTATCACAACGGCTACATTTAGCCCAACTCTCTGTGGATACACAGTATAACCCTCCAAAATAGAGGCATTCTGTGTCATTTGTCTTTTGTTTCGTGTTAGGCATACCCTTGCTGTTTTGATTTTACGGAATTTTTTCGGTAAACAAAGACCGTATTCCTGGGGTGCAGAAACTGCTGTTGATCGTTTGTGTTGTTCCATCAGCTGCTGCTTCTACGGTGTATCTGTTAGGATTGCTGCTTTCCCTCTCCTGCTATTTTCGATTTTTTTCTTAATTTCAACATGTGGAATTGACATTATTTCTATGGGAGAGACATGACTAAAAACTGAATGAGTAGGCCTACTTGTAGTGGTCTAATCGGTAACCGTTTCTGCACCCAGATTAGGCATATCTTCACCTTCATAGTTTTGGTTATTTGGCATTTGGTATTATATGGTACATATTAGACAATTTTATCTTACCAAACGTTTCATTTGAAAACAGTGTACAACCTGAAATAATAAATATATTTCTTAAAGTTAATATTACATGATATATAAAGATATTTTATCGTCATATAATAGTTAAGTCTTACCTTTCCTAATAGAGAAGCATAGGTGCACGAGAACTACACTAAAGCTCTGTTTCTATTTGAGAATCCTTTCTTGGTAATCACATAATCAGCTAATTGTTCGAAAAACTGAAATATATATACATGTATCCTATATAATTTAAACATGCAACTATAATAAAGACGTCAATAACAATAGTTAAATACACTTACTGTACGGTGATAATCGGGCAGCTTTCTAAGGGAGCATTTCCAAAATTTTGCGCCTTTAGCAGGTTCCACAAAAAAGAAACAAAAATTTGTATTGTTGGGCTGCAATTTGAAAAAATTGTAACCTATAAATTCCCATTGTCGTCCGTCTGCCCGTCTTTCCTTAGTATTTAGAAAAGAGTTAGGTAGATGAAATCCGAGAAAAGATGTGGAAACCTTAAGGGCAGGAGGCCCCGATTAACTATATAACAACTTCCGAAAGTCATGTTACATCAATTCAAAACTTTTCCCCCGAAAGGTGTTAGATAGACGACTCTATTGTTAAAGGAAAAGTATAATGTACAGGGGCAAACCACTACTAATTTAAGGTGAAGAGCATATATTTTGAATTAAATTAATTAAAAATATGATTAAAAATTGCAGCCCGGCATTGTGACGATGTCACAATAAATAATTGCTCGTTTTGTAGCTACAAATTATCATCATTATGATCCATCCTACTTAAAGCAAAATTCATCCGTAGTTTCTTCATACGAAATACGAATTAATCCAAAAATAATTACAGTTATAAGCAGCAGAAACTTCATGCTTGGAGTTAATTAAACCAATTTAATTAAAGTACTAAAAAATTTATCATTAAAAGGAAACGTGATAACAGGAGAAAGGTTTTATGAAAAGCGACCTTTACAAAATTATTCTTAATTTAAAATATCAGCGCTAGAAATATATACAGTGGTGCCTCAGTGCACGAACTACTCCCAACTCGAATAATTCGATATTCGAATGCACGTTAAAAAAAAAAA